GGCTCCGCCAGTGCTTGGGCAGGGTAGGGCTAGTGAGGCAGCTTTGAGATCTGAGCCTGAGAGCAAGAATTCTTCCTTCACCATGAGAACAGTCAGCTGGGGAAAAGAGAAACCGCACAGTCCATAAGAACTCTTTTCTTTGTCTGCCTTCCAACTTCCCTGAAGAAATACCTCATCCACATTTAGGATCATCTGTGGTGTTTCAACCTTACACAAAGCTTTCGCAATTATCTTCCCCCCAAACCCTACAGAAACCCTCTGGTTCAGGTGTGTCAGAGCATTTTATGCAGGTTGAGCCCATGGCTGGGCTGGTCTCCTGTCCAAATCTTTCTTGGTCACTGTGGTCGGGCACATGTTGCCTGTTCGGAGCCAGAGGAAAGGAATAAATCTTCCAGTCTGCCCGCTGGGTCACAGTTCAGCAGCAGCTCGAGCCTATTCTCTGGTGTTTAATTAATAATTAAATAATTAAGTTTCAGAAAGCAAGCTGCTGGTTCATTTGTTTGCAGCATAATCTGGGTAGAGCCAGTCTTTGCAGGTATACCTGGGGAGAAAAGGGCAAGTCCTATCTTGCTTTGACCCACTCCTGACCTAGATGGGAAGAAGGTGAGTTTTTAATTTTTTTCCCCTTCAGTTGCCAGAAGAGAGGAAAGGTGTCATTTCACATTTCAGGTGTGTTAAAAGGCTCCCAGGCATGAGCCCATATCATTGCCTCTGGCAGGACTTTTCTATCTCTTATTCAGCTCAACTTGCTGGGTGCATTCCTACCTAGTGTTTTCCCCAGCCTTTTAGTCTCTGCTCAAGTATGTGGAAGTTCTCTATTCACAGGAGAAAGACTACTCTCAGGGACCTAAAAACATCCACCAGGTAGCCATGGCTTTCCCTGTGTTGAGTGCAGGTCCCTGGGTGCTGAGGACTTCTTGTCCTGGGGGCTTGGGAAGGAGAACTCTAGCAGTGAGCAGTCCAAGGAGTGGTTGCCTGGGGCCAGGCTCCCAGTAGCAGTACCCCTGTAACCTGTCAAGCCTGCCCTCCAGGCTGAGGGTCCTCAGGGGAGAGAGGAGTCTGGCCCCTGAGAATGACTTATGGTGCCCTTTCTGCAGGACCAATTCTCCTCACTTTCTTCATCCTTCTCAGCCTGCATCTCTTCTTCCCAGTGGACCCCACATTAGGCATAGCAAGCATCCTTTAGCTTCCTCCCTTTCCCCAGCCTGTGTGTCTACAGAACATCAAAGGAGATTCTCCTCAGTTTGGAATTGATGACCAGGACTCAAAACCGTGGACAACTAATTTCGAAAGGTAGCTACTAACATTTGGGATCACACCTCTGTTCTGCTCAGCAGGCTAGCCCAGAACTGGCCTAACTATCCTCATCCTTCATCCCAGCCATTCCTCTTGAGGCAGTGGAAATGACTGGGCCATGGGCTTTGTTGGGACACGAGAGGGGATTCCTTCCCCTTCCCCAGAGGAAGGAGGTGAGTCTGAGGTCCCAGGAGAATCACAAAGTGTGTGGTAGGCATGAGAACTGATATACTGCCTTCTCTGCACACAGTGGCCCTGTCCTTCAGCCCATCTGAGCTGGTAGTCACCGTGCCAGGTAGTGGTTGAACGGTGGAGACCATACCCTCCTGAAGCAACTCTGGGCAATAGCACAAGGTTGAATGGCATTGCACAAGTGGTGACGCCGGAGCTGGTGCTTTTATGTGGATGCCTAGGAAGTAGCATGTCGTTTCAGCACAGTCTGGGGAACGGTCCTCTGGGTCTCTGCTTTACTTATCTTGCATTTCATTTGAGGATTCTCCATCTCCTCCTCTTTCCCTTTCTCCAAGCTGTTGTTTTTTCCTTTTCCTTCACTCCCTCTAAATGGGCTTATGTGATCTCTCTAAGAAACTTCGTATTTCAATCTTAGGGTCAAACTCAGGCTCTTCCTGCCAGTCCTTTTTTGTTGAATAGGCTATGGGAAGACTCAGTTATGTTCTTTGATCAATTGGTGATAAAAAGTAGGTACACACCCTTAAACATCCTGAAACAAGCTTTGGCTCAGTCACCAAACCCTTTTCAAACCAGTTACATTTTCCTTCTCTGGGTAAAGGGTTTCCTAAAGGTTCTGTGTGCTGTAGAAGTAAAGAACCCTTAAGGGTGGGCTGGGGTTGTAGCTCAGTGGTATAGTGTTTGCCTAGCATGTGTAGAGGCACTGGGTTCGATTCTCAGCCCTGAATATAAATAAAATAAAGGTCCATTAACAACTAAAACTAGTAATAATAAAAAAAAGAACTCTTAAGTTTTCTAGACAAAAAAGATCAAGGGAAAGGAAGGCTTTCCACACTCAATTAGGTAAACAAAACAACCTTCAGAGTGAAAAGTTGAAAAATATCACCAAAGGCATTTTGTGGGTAAGGCAGATGGGTGCGCAGTTAAGTCTAGTCCAGAATGTTAATGTTTAAAACCTGAAAGACTTAAATTTAGGGCAGAAAAGGGCAAGTAACCTTTAGGTAAGTATGGTACAGGGGAAAGCACAAATTTTACAGCCTGGATGGATCCCTGGCTGAGGGACTTAGGGCAGCCAGTCCTCCCATCTCCAAGCAGGGCCCCTCTCCCTGCCTGCTTCCCAGGGCTGTTGTACTAAGGGTCAAAGAAGAAGACTTCTATGGAAGCTGACCACCCTCTCTAAACTATTACTCTTTTTTTTAATATATTTGTTGATGGACCTTTATTTTATTCATTTATTTATATGCGGTACTGAGAATTGAACCCAGTGCCTCACACATACAAAGCAAGTGCTGTCTACCACTGAGCTACAGCCACAGCCCACTATTCCTCTTATTTGTTGCTGATAGTGGCTGTTATTACTGCTTCTAATGATATTAGGTCTGCAGCAAGCTCTGATAGGAAGTTGAGCACAAGAAGATGCAGGAAGTCTTCTGTGTCCTGAGTTTTGAGATGAGGAACCTGGAAAACGATCCTGCATTCACCAGGCAGGTCCCTTGGTACCATCTATTCAAGGACAAACATAGATTGTCAGTCTTCTCTTTGAACCACAATGACTGTTGTCACCTTTATTGCTTGAGGTTCTGTGATTGTCATGTACCCAGATAAAAGAAGCTCCAGCTGGAGCTGAGAACTCAGCGGTCAGGACTGATAGGGAAACCAAGGAGTCCCCAAACCATCTGTCCCATGTGGCTTAATTGATGTCTCCACTTATTTCTTGAGCCTCTTTCTTTCCATCCTTCCTTCCTTTGTTTTTTGCCTCCTTCTTTCCTGTTAATGTTTGAAACCAGAAAGACTCAAATTTAGGGCAGAAAATTTTCCTAATGTATCTTTTTAAATTAGAAAAAAATGACCCATAAAATTTGTACATATGTATGGGCTACAGTACAAGAATTCAATACATGTCTACAATGTGTAATGATCCTATCAGGGTAATTAGCATCTCTATCGCCTCAAACATTTATCATTTCTTTTTTCCGGGAACCTTTGAACTCATTTCTTCTAGTTATTTTGAAATATATAATAAGTCGTTGTCAACTATAGTCACCCTTTGGTGCTGTGGAGCATTAGGACTAATTCCACTTGTCTCTGTGTTGCTTCCCATTACCCAACCTCCCTTTCCCCTCCCCCTTCCTTCCCAGCATCTAGTGACCACTGCTTATTTGAGGCCCTTCCTTGCCTGTGATTGTGTGGCAGGAGAGGAGGAAGAGTAGTTGCCCCAGTCTTGGCCCTAGGTGATACCTGCATCTCCTGATCTTAGCCATTGAGGAGCCGTGCCCCTGTGACTCTGGATCTTAGATTTTTTTCTTGCACTCTTGTATTTTATGCTTTTGCAGATAATACACACTCACCAGTGATGGAATCACTGTACAGGGGCTCTTAGTTGGGCTCCTCCTCCTCCCCATCCACCCCAACCCGCTCACGGAGAATCATTAATCCTTGCTGCATAGTTTGAGGGTAATGGAAGACACAATCTATGCAGGAACAGTTTACAGTAAGAGTTGCTATTGCTTTTGCTTAAGATCATTTTAGTATTTCCACAAGCTTTTAATTTTATCAGTAATGGGTTTCTATTTGAGTGTTTATAAATGCCTTGGTTATTTTTTGATTTGGAAAAACCAGCAGAGAATCTGTTGAACCAATTACTGACCTCTCATGCTTGAACAGCTGCCAAACAATGGTTTAAAATCCTAGGGTCTTGGAAGGGAAGAAGACATAGGGGTCACCTGGTCAGTGTTCAGTCAGGAAAATGGAAACTATTGTAGGTATTAAACAGGGAATCTGATACCCAGGATTGATTATGGTGGGGCGGGGGTTGGAAAGGCTGAAGAAGCAAAGAGTGAAAGTCAGGTTATCTGAAGATTAGTAACCCCTGGGAGCTGCCTTCAGCCATAGGACCTTGGACTGAAAAGCAAAGAGATGCTGCCCAGAACGGTGACCACTGCCTGAGCTGGGGCCCAGGGTGTTTTTGCCACCTTCATGTCACATGGCCACACCTGCAGAAAGGCTGGGAAATGTAGCCTACCTGTGCGGCCAAAAGGAAAGGAAGTCAGTTTTTGTGGAATAGCTAGTTTCTGCTACACACGGGTATAGTAGTCCCTGGTATTTGTAGAGAATAGTGACCCTGTTGTGGACTCAATCCTCAAAACTGTGTGTGTGCCAGGTGTGGTGGTGCAGGCCTGTCATCCCAGCAACTTGGGAGGCTGAGGCAGGAGGATCGAAAGCTCTAGGCCAGCCTTAGCAACTTAGCAAGACCATCTCAAAATAAAAAGACCCAGGAGTGTAGCTCAGTGGCAAAGTGTCCCTGAGTTCATCTCCCAATGCCTCCCCCCCCAAAACAAAAACAAAAACACAAAACCCCTCAGAGTGTGTGTTTGTGAGAGTGTGTGCACACTTTTGAAAACACATGATTGCCCAGGAGGATTCCTGCCTCTTCCTGGTCCACTCCTCCTTCTCCTGCCTTCCCTGGCCCTCCTGGTGGTGGCTCAGATGACATCAGTGTGCTCTCTTGTCAGGGTGTCCTGGCCCAGCCCCAGCCCTGGTGGAAGATCCAGCTGTTCATGTGGGAGCCAGTGCTGTTTGGGACCTGGGATGGTGTGTTCACGTCCTGCATGATCAACATTTTTGGGGTTGTCCTGTTCTTGAGGACCGGCTGGCTGGTGGTAAGTGATGAGCTGGTGGCCCTGGTGCCTCTTGTGGGTCCACAATCTGGAAAGCTGTCCTGCTTGGCATCCTTCAGTGCAGGCAATAGTTTCCTGAAGCACAGGTGCTCCTGAAACATGAAATAGGACACAAGTAAGTGGCGAGCTGGCATGGCTTTTTATTGTTATGATTGTTCTATTTTTATTAGTGGTTGTATGCCTGATTTACAATTTTTATTGTTATAATTGTTCTATTTTATTAGTAGTTGTAAGTATTAATTGGCATTGTTTTTTTAAAAATCTTTTTTCTTTTTCTGTGGTGCTGGGGAATCAAACCCAAGGCCTTATAAGTGTGAGGCTAGCGCTCCATCAATGAGAAACATCCCCAGCTCCTTGGCATTGTTTATTTATTTATTTTTTGGTTCTGGGAATTGAACCTGGGGGTGCTTAACCACTGGGCTAAATCCCCAGCCTTTTATATTTTATTTTATTTTGAGACAGGATCTCGCTAAGTTGTTTAGGGCCTCACTAAATCGTGAGGCTGGCGTTGAACTTATGATCCTTCTGCCTGAGCCTTCTGAGTTGCTGGAATCACAGGTGTGTGCCACTGTGCCCCACATGGCATTGCTCTTTAAATGAGAGTCTGTGAGCCCGGGACTCACAGGTTCCAATAGAAGCTTCCCCATGGATTTGATTACCCAAAGAGTCACGGGTCATCATGGGTGGGACTAGAGATGAGCAGAGAGATCAGATGGGTGGCAGTTTTGCTTCCAGCTTGTGACCCTCTCTGGCCTTCTTATCTTTCCTGTGTCCTGCTAATGCACCAGCTCCTCACCCACATGGTTGCCTTCTCCCACTCTCCCTGACTCTGTGTGTGACCATGCATGGGGGCCCTTAGTCAGAGGTGTAGGCTCCTTACCTCTGGGGGATAGATTGCCCTGCACAAGGTCCTACGGGGTTAGTTTGTCTTTCTCTGCACAGAGAACAAAAGTCCTTTCCTTTGTTTTATGCAAAAGCATTCTTCCATACAGGTGTGCACCCTGAGCAGGGTCCTCAGCCCTTCATATTGTGCCTTCTCCCATGGTGGGACTTCAGTATACCAAATAGGCCCAGAAGAAAAGGTGAATACCTGTTGTGTGCTAGCACTACTAGTGCCAATGGAATTGCAAAACCCAACACCTCCTCCTTCCCATAGTGGGCAGAGTCATGTCATCAGAGCAGCGGGAAACACCTCAGGGGTGGAACAGGCTGAGGATGCTGCATTCACGGAAGTGTCCAGGAAAGCTTCCTGGGGAGAGGTGCAGTTTGGAAGGCCTTGAAGGGTGAGTTGGACCAGACAGGTGGAAGAGAGGGCTGTTGAAGGTATAGAATATTCCTAAAGTAACAGAGCCAATGCCAGAGGAGATCCACACATACAAGGTATATATTATCAGGTAAGTTTTGAGTTTGAAGGTGGAAAGCTCATGCAGAATTTCTACATTGCAGCTTAGAGGCAGAATCCTTCTTTGGGAAACCTTAGTCTTTGCTCATAGGGCCTTCTACTGATCCGAAGAGGCCCACCCACATTATGGAGGGTAACCTCTTTACTTTATGACAATTGATTATTTTAATCACAACTTTAAAATACCTTTACAGCAATATTTAGACTAGTGTCTGACTAAACCACTGGTCACTACAGTGGACACATAAAATTAACCATTCCATGGGCATATTCCAGGGGATTACAGCTCCATGGTGGTGGGATGTGCAGAGTTCTTGGATTTCCCCATCAAGAGGCCTGGATAAGGCCAAATTTTCCTAAGCTCTTGTTCAGTCACATCCCAGTCCTTACCTCAGGGTTCAGCCTTTACTGTACCTGGGTGAGTCTGAAATTTTTTATTTTTAATGCATAGGAAGCTTAGATTGGTGTCAATAAATTAGTGTTTATGCTAAGAATTTATGCCTCTCATAAGCCCGCTAAATTTATGGGGGCCCCAGACTTACAAAAACATAGCCGCAAGCCCAGACTGTTCATCTTGGCAGGTAGGCTGAGGCTTTTGGGACCTGACCTTGTTCTTCTTCTTCCTGTGGTGGTCACCTCACTGCTTAGTAACTCTCCAGCCTATGTCCAACCAAGGCCCATCAACCTGACCTCTAAGGCAGAGGAGGCCTGATCAGTGTCAGCCTGGGATTCCTGAGCTCTGTTCCTGTAAGGATGGTTATGGAAAGGTGGATGGAGAACAGACTCTTAGTCCTTTAGCTCCACCACCCCTTTTTTTTTAAGGGCTGTCAAGAACTATTAGTTCCATCCCCAAAGCGAAGGTATAAGTTACATTAGTTATTATTATTGCATATCAAATTACCCTAATATTAAAGCAATAAATATGTTTTCTCTTACAGTTTCTGTGATTTGGGGATCCAGGTACAATTTTAGCTGGGTGCCTCTTGCTTGAGGGTTTTGGTCAAGCTGTTGGTCAGGCTGCAGTCTCCTCTGAAGCTTCAGCTGGGGTGCCGGGAAGTGGTTATTGACCCAGGCCTGGGTCCTCATCATGTGGATGTCTGCTAGGGTTGCCTCATGAAAAGGCAGCAGACTTCTACAAGGGTGAGCAATCTAAGAGAGGAGGAGAGAGCAAGAGCATGAGACAGAAGCCATAGTCTTTTTACTATCCTAATCACAGATTCTGTCACTTCTGTATTCTAATTATTAAAAGCAAGTCACTACATGGATAAAACAAATAGCCTAAAATAGAAGTTTGTGCATGTTTAAATTTGCACTTCAAAAACTATGAAATAAATTTCAACTAATGTGATCATTTTGAGTGACTGACAAAATATTTGCATACTTTAAAAGAGTGAGTCATTTGGTGCAGCCTAAACCCAAAAGGCTGGGTATTACACAAGGACAGAAATACCAAGGGACAGGGATCACTGGGGCTATCTTTAAGTTTGTCTACCACACAAATACATCCTTTTGTCTTAAAATGATCTGTAGTTTTCAGCTCTGACATTAGTTTTACCTGAAAAATCATATTTGATCATGAAAACAAAGGCAAACATGAAATGCCAAAAATAATATAGAACTCTAAATATAGAGCTTCTAGGGAATGGCATAAAATGAAAATGGTAGAGATCATGACAAAATTATTAGTTTTTAAATGGAAGATTTTAACTGTATGGAATAATTTGGAGGCATACTTATAATCTGAAAAATGGTGAAGTGGTCATTCTAGTATGAAAATTTAAATATGTTATTGGATATTTTATTTTTACATGCAGACAATTTATAGGTATGAACATGATCCTATGGAATTTCCTTATAAGTATAAAATCAGCAAAATTAGTCCCCAGCATGTTGAGATGTCATACTCACATATAGTTTAAGGCCATCTGCCTGGGGGCAGCTGGTGCTGGGGCATTGGGGTGGGCAAGTAGGCATTATGATTGGCTCCTGTCAGTTCTTCTTTTGCCCCTGTCTCACCTCTGGAATCATTTAACACTGCCAACCCTAGAAATCCCAACAGCGATGTGAACTGTGTGGCTGTGGCTGGGTTTTTGTACACATACCCACACAACTGTTGATGTCTTGTTCCCAGAGGGAGCCACAGATATCCTCATGCTCCAGTCTAGCCACTAAGGAGAAGGAGAGTGAGTGGGTAGAATACGTATAAACTGCATAACAATAATGAACAATAGTAATAATAGTGACATAAAATTTATAGCAAAATAAGAATATAGCAAATAAAGTTTATCAAGCCCTTATATCCTGGATGGCATTCTAAGTACCCTGTATGTATTTAATCCCCCTAAGATTTGTTATTTCCTGACAACCCTGAGATAAATATTATCTCAATTTTACAAAAGAGCAAACTGAGCAGAGGTAAAGTCCCAGTAGCCACAGTTGAGGAGACACCCTGTCTACTTGTACTCAATATGCAGTTTGCATTCAGAGCCCTACCTATGCAGATGCACATTCCTTTCTTGACCTGAGTGTCCCCTAGGAGACCCTCTCCTTGCTCCTCAGTTCCATGCTAGGTCAGATGGTCAGAGGCTCATCCCTTTTTCAAAGACTAATGACTAGTGCGTTGCTACAGCTATCTTATTGCACCCTGATGCAGCACTTAACATCTCAGATTTACCTGTCTTTTCTTTTTCAGTCTTTTCTTTTAATTCTGGGCATAGAATCCAGTTCTTCAGGCATGCTAGGCAGATACTTTACCACTGAGCTACATTCCCAGTCCCACATTTTTTTTTTCCTATTCTGCTTATTCCCATAGGAAATTTGAGGTAGTCAACAACAACAACAATAATAATAATAATAATAATAATAATAATAATAATAAAACCCACAGTACTTCAAGCTAAAAAACATGTGAAAAACTCATGCGAGAGAAAGCACAAATGAATGGGAAAGTTTACTGCAGCGATTCCTTCTGGTGCCTGCACATGTCCCCTGCACTCTTACAATCAGCCAGGTCTTGCTTGCAGGTAGTTCCAAAGCTAGATGAACAGTATGTCCCCAGAACTTTCTTCCCCAGTGGCCTGTGAAAGAGTAGCAGGCAGAGGGCTTTCTTCTCCTAGGTCTACTATGTGGCAATGTTGTAGTAGAAAGGAATTTTGCCAGGGAGGAAAACCCCTGGCAAGTATGGCAAGTATTGCAATAAGTACTAAACCCTGGATCCTGGAGGAGCCCCGAAGCATTATAGGGATGGCTCCTGAGGGAGGAAATCCTAAACATGGAGTCTTTAAGGATGCATTGGCTTTAACATGGCAAAAGCATAGAATGAACAGTAAAGGCATTCCAGTCATGTAGGTAAGCAGGTGGCGGGACAAAACATGTCCCTGCATGGTAGGGCACAGAGTAACAGATGAGAAGGTGCCTCATGACTATACTGAGTGCTTCAACTTTACTACATAGGTGATGGGAAGTCATTGGAGGATTTAAAGTACTCCTCATGGGCCTTAGCTCTGGTGGTGTCTTTCAACTGTTTCCGGTTGCCCTACTTGGGGCGCCCCCACCCCCATTCTAAGGCAGTGGGTCCCAGGGTGAGGGGAAGTGGTTAGTGTTCCCACTGGGGACCACTCTGGCAGGACCTCCGCTGCTCACCCTCATCTTGATCCTTGCTGTTCTACAGGGAAACACGGGTGTGCTCATGGGCATGCTTCTGGTGTCCTTTGTCATCCTCGTGGCCCTTGTTACTGTGCTGTCTGGCATCGGCGTTGGGGAGCAGGTTGGCATGGGCAGTGGCGGCGTCTACTCCATGATCTCCTCCGTCCTCGGCGGGCAGATGGGAGGCACCATCGGGCTGCTCTATGTGTTTGGACAGGTGAGGCTGCCAACAGCGGACGACCCCAGCACCCCCCCCACCCCCCGCCTGCGCTCTGCTTCTTCTCTTCTCACCATCTTCTCTCCCCTTCCTCTTTCTACCTGGCTCTGGTCCAGATCCCTGACCCCTTAGTCCAGAGCTCCTGCTCCCACCATTCCTGCCTCATGGATTCCTGATTTGACAAGGGGCTTGGCCCAGCACCATTCTTGCTGCCTGGCTAGGAAGGGTGTGCACCATAGCAGCTGGAGCCCAGGTGGCAGCCATGTGGCCTGGGACCAGGGCATTTTTGTGCTGAAGAGAAGGCATTCTGCCTGTGCCAAGGGACTTTCTTGGAAGGAGGCCCTTGTCAACTGAGCTGGAGCTCTCACACACATTTGATGACTCAGGTGACCTTAACAGGGAGGCTGAAAGCCCTTGTGTGGACTCTGTATCTGAGAAAGAGGATGGCGACGAGGAGACCGCCTCATCAGGCTGGATGAAGGCATATAGAAAACCAGCCAGCAAGGAGCAGTTCTAAGGCTTATTTAGCTAAAACACAAGGCGGTGACTTAATGCTGAGGAAACAAACTACAGACACTAAGAAGCAGTTCTTTGTAAGCATTTCTTGGATTGAAAAAGATTCTACGGTACCCACAAAAGGTGGTTTTCAAAACAGCTTAAAGAATTTGTGTAAAGAAGAGTCCAAGAGTCTCCTCAAGGAAGACATTGGTTTTGTTTCTTTTATTTTTAGGTAGCACAGGTAAGGGATTTCATAAGAAATACATCTGATTCTCTAACAGCATAAAGTAGAGAGAGAGAGAGAGGGAGAGAGAGAGAGAGAGAGAGAGAGAGAGAGAGAGAGAGAGAGAGAGAGACTGTCTGTCTGTCTGCAGGGAAGGCAGATGGGTTGTCACTGACTGTTTAAGAGCATGTGCTTTTACCAAAGAAAGTTCTTTAAGAATAGTATAGGTCAACCATCCCTAATCTGAAAATCCAAAATCTAAAATGTTCCAAAATCTAAATTTTTTTATAACCTTATATTGAATGGTGCTCAAAAGTTTCGTATTTTGAAACATTTCTGACTTCAGATTTTCACATTAGGATGCTCAGCCCACAAAGTCTATGCACATATACCAAAATCAGAAAAATTCGGAAATCTGTAACATTTCTGATTATCCATGCCTTTTGGGTAAAAGATGTTCAAACTATTGTCTGCAAGGTGAATAATGAGTGGCTGGTATACTTTATTCCCCTGAGGATTTGTGCCTAGCTCTACTATTGTGGAGCCAAATGGGCTGCAGGGTGGACACAGAAGTCCTTGCTCTCCCCACTCCCTGGGCAGGGACAAGCCAGCTTCTAGAAGCAGGTGCCAGCTCTGAATACCCAGGATAAAGAGAAGAAGCTGGTTTACTTAGTCTCCCTTCAGTGGGCTTATTTGGAAGGAAATATGAGAAAGATGTTTTCTCAGCCCTGGCGGCTGAGAGAAGCCTCTGTGTCAGCAGCTCTGCTGTTCTGCCTTCTTCCCACTTGGGCCTTGGTCAGATATCTCCAAGTGCCTCTGATCAGTGTCTTCGTCACGCCTCTGCTTTGTCTGAAGCTACCCCAGGCTGCAGTCTCTGAGCAGGGTGTGGTTTCTGTTTAATCCTGTATGTGTTACTGGCTTTGTTTTCTAGTATGTTGAGGACTTTTTGTGCATATTCATGAGGTCTGTTGGCCTGTAGTTTTTTGGGATGTGACGTCTTTGTCTGGTTTTGGTGTGAGGCTACTGCTGGCCTCACAGAGTGCGTTGGGAGGTGTTCCCTTCTCTTCTAGTTTTTTGGAAGTGTTTGATGTTAATTCTTTAAATGTTTGGTGAAATTCAGCAGTGAGACTATGGCATTTTCTTTGTAGAAAGTTTTGATTCTAATTCAGTCTCTACTTACGTGGGCTTGTTCCACGTTTCTGTTCCTTTTGGAGCCAGCTTCATAAGCTTGCATCTTTTTAAGGATGTTTCTGTTTCATCTAGGTTATCGTATTGACATATTTTTTACAGAGTCCTTTATAATCCTCTCTGTTTTTGTATCCATCTTTCATTCCTAATTTTAGTGATTTGGATCTTCTCACTTTTTTTCTAGATCAACCTAGGTAAAGATTTGTCTGCAAAGAACCAATTTTTGATTTTGTTGATTTTCTCAGTTATTGTTCTGGTCTCTATATCACTTATTTATGCTCTTGTCTTTATTATTTCCTTCCCTCTGCTTTCTTTGAGTTTAGTTTGCTCTTCTCTTTTGGTTTCTTGGGTGTCAAGTTAGGTTACTCATCTGAGCTCTTTGTTCTAGGTATGGTTGGGGTTTCTGAGGTTCCCTGTTCCTGGTTTGTATTAACCCTCTCATGTCCTCATCCCAGCACATGCATGCATTCATTAATTTTGAAAGATTACTAGGGCAGATTGTCTGGCTTTGAATGATTACTAGGGCAGATTGTTCCTGCAGGGGTTGGCAAACTTCTATAAAGGACTTAATAGTAAATATTTTGGCTTTGCATGTTTCTGTCACAAGCAATTAACTCTGTCATTATAGTGCAAAAGCAGCCATAGAAGTCTGGAGTGTGGCATGTGCCTGTAATCCCATAAACTCAGGAGACTGAGGCAGGAGGATCTCAAGTTCTAGGCAGCCTCAGCAACTTACCTGAGACCCTATCTCAAAATAAAAAATAGGGGCTGGAGTTGTGGCTCAGTGGTAGAGCGCTTGCCTAGCATGTGTGAGGCCCTGGGTTCGATCCTCAACACTACATAAAAATAAATAAATAAAATAAAGATATTGTGTCAAAATAAAAAATAAAAAGGGCTAGGGATGAAGTATGATAGCAAAGTGCCTCTGGGTTCAATCCCTAGTACCAAAAAAAAAAAAAAAAAAAGACATTGCTCTCTGTCTCAAAACAGGCAGCAATCAGGATTTGGCCAGTGAGCCAGTTTGCCAGCCCCTGTCCTACAGCATCAAAACTTAAGAGATGCAAACACTAGAATAATTATTTTAAAAGCTTGCAAAAATCTTGTGGACGTCCTTTGTTCTCCCTGTTTTAGTCAGCTTTTTCTCACTCTAACAAAATAATCAATATGAACAACTTAAAAGAGGACAGACTTATTTTGGTTTCAGAGGGTTCAATCCCTGGCTGGCTGGCTCCTGTGTCTGGATCTGTGGGAAGGCAGCACATCACCGTGGAAGGTGTGGTAGAATAAAGCTGCTCACCTCACTGCAGCTGGGAAGCAGACGGACAGAGGATAGGAGAGGTTGGGGACAAGATAGACACCATTGGAGCCTGCCCTCAGTGAGCTGCTTCTGCAAGAAGGACCCACCTCCTACAGTTTTCCCACCTCCCACAGTTTTCCCCACCTCCCCATGATGCTAGCAGCTAAGAATTCATCAATAGACTAGTCAGAGCTCTCACCACCCAATCCCTTCCCCAGAGCCCCATTTCTGAACGCTGGTGCTTTGGGGACCAAGCCTTTACCACGAGTCTTTGGGAAACACTTCATATCTAAACCATAATGATCCCAAGCCCTTCTTCCCTCACTTCTGAGACCCATGTAACAAGCTTCCCTGTGGGACCAGACTCCTTTGGCTAGGAGGGGAAGATGGTTAGAGACCCTCCTCACTCCCTGCCCCACTCACCCACCCATATCAGTCTGAAGGCTTCTTAACTAGACACCAGAATGTCTGTCTTCAGCATACTGACCTGTCTATAAGCATTTATAATGGCTACTGTGCTCTGTACAAAAACAGTGGGGAACTGGAAATCTTTTATAGACTTGACAGAGGCCTGGAGTTTTCCTCATGGGATTAGCACATGTGCAAAACTGTTACCAGCTTCAACCAAAATCATGGGTTTGTGACAGAAGAAGGTGAGTGGAGGGACAGCTCTAGTCCTCTAACTGGGTACCTGAAGGTGGAGGGGAAATGCCTATGACTGTGCATGTGCAGTTCTTCTAAAACAAATACCTTGGAATGGAGGTATAGTCCCCACTGTCTCTTTAAAATGGTTAGTGACACTCCCTGTGTCTTATGGCAGGGAGTTAGAGAAATTTCTCTTAGAAAATGGAAAAGAAGGGCTGGGGATGTGGCTCAAGCGGTGGTGCGCTCGCCTGGCATGTGTGCAGCCCGGGTTCGATCCTCAGCACCACATACAAACAAAGATGTTGTGTCCGCCAAAAAATAAATAAATAAAAAAAAGAAAATGGAAAAGAAATAGGAATACCTATGGTTATAAACTTCAGGAGGAAATGAAAATACTTTAAAAATATAACAAATACTGGATGCTGGGTGCAGTGGTGCATGCCTGTAATCCCAGTGACTTGAGAGATTGAGGAGGAAAGTTCATAGGTTTGAGGCTAACTTCAGTGATTTAGCAAGGCGTCAAGCAACTTAGTGAGACCCTGTCTCAAAATAAAAAATCAAAAGGCCTAGGATGTGGTTCCAGGGTAAAATGCCTCTGGGTTTAACTCCTGGTACTGCCAGAAAATTAAAAACTAAAAACAACCGCTGGAGATATTTACACAAATCACCAGGAATGCTTTCCAAGAAAGAGTGGTGTAGGTTGGAAGGTAGACCTTAAGGTAGTTTCCTTGCTGTGGGGAAGGGGCAATCACTGATAGTCCATGCCTTGTGCCGAGCTCAGACCAGCATTGAGATGGCTGTTGTGAGCCAGGGGTGATGAAGGCCTTGATCCTGGGCTGCTTCCCTGAACACAGGGCTACAACATACCCCAATGTAGTTTTGCATAAATATAATGGTACTCTCAGTATGTTTATTTTTATTTTTTTCCTTTATAAGTTGATATAAAAGGGCAAAATGATCTTCACTGTAGTCAGTTAGTGCATCAGCCATAATGTAACGTAATGAAAAGTGAGCTGTCCCCACCCAAGGCAGCCAGTGTCCACAGCTTACATTGTCTTCCACCACTCTAGTCACACACGGGTGGGGATTTGAAGGACTTGCTTATTTTTATAAACAAAGTTCATACTCTATTCCACATCATGGGGGTCTCACTTAACCTGAAGTCACAGATATTCCCCTAGGTCAGTGTTTTCACTTTATGCGCATAGTACTTACTGAATATTGAATAATATGAGCATACCTAATTTATGGCACATTTTTGTTCTCCATTTCATTTTTCTTTATTAGTCGTTGTTAGATATGGAAAATGAAAAACCCTAAGATAATGTGGCCTGGGAAAAGGGAGTGAAAAAGAAAACCATACATGGCTAGCCTTCTTCTCTCTCAAGATAAATCCTTTTCAGATGCTGGCCACTGGCGGGGAGAAAGTGTTTCATCAAACCTAGAATGATAGTCTCTAGGAGACACTAATCTCTTCCAAGATAAATCCTCTCCAGGTGCTGGCCACTGACCCCCAGCACAAAGACCCAAATTCCTGAGTGCCCAAACTGACACGCTCTGAGTATAGCCAGTATAAGCCCCAATTCCCCCTTTGGCCAGGGGCTCATTTTCCACCAGGAGAGCGGGTCTATTCCTGTGCGCCTTATCCCGTTCCTGAACAAAAGGCTCAGATGATCCGTGAAGTTTTCGTCCAGCCGGGTCCTTCAGTGCTCACAGTAGTTTTATTCCTTTTTCATTCCTAATAGTCTATGTTTTTGCATTCTCTCTTTTCTTTTTAATCAGGTTACCAGGGGTTATCCATTTTATTGATTTTTCTTAAAGGGTTATATTTTGATTTTTGTGTCATTTCTCTTCAATTTTATATTTCTTTATATTAAATACTTCCTTTTATACTCTCATTTATTTATGTTCACCTTCTTGTGACTTTTCAGTTGATACTTTGTTCCTTTATTTTTCTTTCTCTTTTAACGAATAAAAACATTTAGGATTAAATTCTTTTTTTCTTTTCTTTTTTTTTTCCTCCTCTAGAGGCAAGTTTGGTTGAGTCTCTTGGGTTTTTAGAATTCTCCTGTTCATTGCTGTATAGATAATTTTAAATTTTATTTTTTACTACTTCTGGCTTTGCCAACAGGGGTCAAATTTATTTGCATTGCATTTTCGCCCTAATTGATTTGGCATTTTATTATGTTTTTAGTTCTTGTGGTAGCGGACAACCCTTAGAAGCTATAATTAAGCATACCTTTCTTTTTCCTATTTCTTATTTCTTTTACTTTTTATATTCCTCCCAGATAAAATGTTGTTTACTATCTCATCCCTGACCAAATATGAAATCTCTATAAACACCCTTTCTCCTTTCCCAAACTCTTAAATTTTGAGAGGATGATATGATTTTGGACTATTACTGCTTTTCCTTAAAGTCAATCTCTTTGACTTCAAGAATCCTTATTTATGACTTATATTGCAACTTCCCAGTGGCTTTACCATCAACTGTTTAGCATTAGCAAAGTGTTTTATGGTATTTGCAGCTAGTTCCTGTTTCTTCTTCTTTGGTAGCTAATAATAAAATCATAATGATAATGCCAATAATCATTATTTCTATAACTTCAACTATGAGTCAGATATTGGTCAAGGGCATTTAATCATCCCAATAACCTTCTGAAGTCAGTACTGCTATTATCTGTGTTTCACAGGTGAGAAAATGAGACACTTTCCCAAGTCACACAGGGTTTGGCCTTACCTGGCTTCACAGTCCATGCTTCTAACCACCAAAGAGGTCTTTCAAGCATCCCAGAGAATTTTTTCCCCTGTTGTGGCAACTTGAGTTAAAAGACATATAGGTGCAAACCCCAAAGAGGGGCTCTCCTGGAATTACTGGAAACAGAAGTGGTGCGTACAGCTTGGCCCTCCTCATGTAAGCAAGTACTGTTCAGCTGCTAGGAAAAAATATATATAAAAGAATTTCTTGGAGGCTCCAGATGCAAATGGTCACATTCAAGTTCTGGCATCATCTTCTGCATGTGGCATGTGGGTGACATGGGACACCTGGGAAGTTGAAGCCCATATAAATGATCTTTATTACTCCATTCTTATCTCTCTTTTTTTTTAAATTCAGATAAATCTGACCATGAGGAGTCCTGTTGACCTGGCCAAATACTGATCACATAGTATCATTAGCACCACCACACTCTTGGGGTTAAGTCAAGAGACAGTTTAAGTTCTGAAGTAAATATAGGAAAACACAAATCTCAATCTCTCTCTCTCTCTCTCTCTCAGAGATAATTATATTTCCTCCACATTTCTAATATGGACAGAGATTCCTATAATTATGGGATACTGAGAGGGCTGGAATGACCGTTTAAGCTAAGTGTGTACATTTTGGAGAACATTTAGAAAAATGTGGTGTGCCGATCTCAGTGAAGAATGGGGCTGTGCGTGTGAGCTCCCCTCAAATACAGAACTTGTGTTACCCTCTGGCCTTTGCATGAAAGGGCTACGGCTTAGCAGTGATTGCTTCCCAAAGCACTTTTTATACAATCAAGTTATCACAAAATATTTCTTGGATGCTTGTGGTATACTTAGCAAATCAGGGTATTTGAAGAGGTGTAAATCAGCTAAATTTTTTAATGTTTGTTTTTTAAAAGATGTTTGCATTCCTGGTAGTGGTTCACTGAATATCACTATATATCACTTCTATACGTGATATATGTGGGAGGTGGATGCAGATAACGAAATGTATGAAACCGGCAGTGAGCTGAATGTTTATTCAGAAGATGGAGATGAGAAAAGACTTAATGGAAAAAGAATATCTCCAGTGAGGCCCTAACAGGGTTTGTTCCCTGGGGGATTGGCAAGAACAGGGCAACAGGGATGAGAGTGACAGCTGACCTTGTGGGGCAGAGAAGGGACAAACCTGAGGAGCAAAGGGAGCTGAGGCTGAGGATTAGGTAAAGTGAGGTGGGTGTTATTTTTAACTATTGATTTATCTTTCAAATATCCCCCCTCAAAGTAAAATTATGGCTCAGATGTAAAATCATGGCAAATATAAAATGAGCTTGTGCCAAAGCTTTTATTGAATTCATCAATCAGTGGAGGAGCCAATAGGATGTTAAAGAGCAGCGAGAAGCTAGGTGTGGATGTTAGATGGATGGAGATCAACCTACAGAGTTCTGGGCAATTTACCAAATACATACAAAGACAAGGTTGCTGGGTTAGATACAAAGCTAGTCGATGTCTTACGGGACAACAAACTTTTAATCTTTTGGGCTTTCTGTTTCCCTGGATAAAAGTTACTTGTATTTTTACTAGAAAAAAAAAATCTGTAAGTTAACACGTAACTTTACTTAGTCTGAGATATTAATAGCAAATAGTGAATTGAACAGAGTACATTTGCCTAGATGTCCTTGGGTAGCTTTTGTAACATATGACCTTGAAAAGCTGTGCCGTCTACTTTTTTCCTCTATTTCCAAGTTTTAGATAATTTCAGAAATAATATTAACCTACAAAGAAATTGGCCACAGTGCCCTTCTGTGGCTCTGAAGATGGGACCCCCTGCTTGCTCTTGTTCTAGATTTAGTTCTTGAATGGTGCAGACAGAGAAATCGGAAGGCCTCTTCGACCCAGCACCCCCCAGGTCCCCGCCTTCCTCTCATACTCTTTTCATCTTTGTCACCTCTGGCAGTCGGCTCTCAGCTTGGGCTCAGTGCTCATTCTCCCCTCGCTCAAGACATAGTCGAGCAGAAATGGGGCCTGGGGCAGATTCCCAGGTGAAAAGAGCAGGGTAATGGTGCTGGTTCCTCGCTGCTGAGCCTGGGCTGGTGCAAGTGTTTGTCGGGGCAAGCAGGGTGCTCAGGGTGGGTGGTCCTGCCCAAGGCTCCTGATGCTTCTCTGTCTTGCTGGCTCTTCCTGTCTGGAACGCCCGGGCAGTGTGTTGCAGGTGCCATGTACATCACTGGCTTTGCTGAGTCCATCTCGGATTTGCTGGGCCTCCGGAACATCTGGGCTGTGCGAGGAATTTCAGTTGCCGTGCTTCTGGCCTTGCTGGGGATCAACCTAGCGGGCGTCAAATGGATCATTCGATTCCAGCTGCTGCTGCTGTTCCTGCTGGCCGTGTCTACGCTGGACTTTGTGGTGGGCTCTTTCACCCACCTGGACCCAGGTAAGCCCTTCAGGGTTCAGTATGTGGCCTACCCTGGGGATCTGCACTGCTTTGTGAATGCTGATAGATGTGAATTTGGAGATGACCCTCCCATCATGGGTTGTACCTACAATTTAGTGTGGCCGTTCCTGATCAGGTGAGTTGGTACGTCTTGGTGTGACACAATTTTTCACTTCATGCTTTTTCTGTTTCCTTTTCTTCTTAAAACAAAACTCAGAAAATTTAGATTAAAAGAGAGCAGAAATACACAGAGATTAAATTGATAACAGTGATTGGAAGACTGGGCAAGAAATAAATATGCATGTAGGGAAGATAAACAGACCTTAATTTTTTCTGTCATTGATTTTTTTTTTTTTGACTGGGGATTGAATCCAGGGGTGCTTAACCACTGAGCCACATCCCAGCACCCCCCGCCCTTTTTTTGGTATTTTATTTAGAGACAGAGTCTCACTGAGTTGCTTAGGGGCTTGTGAGGTTGCTGAGGCTGTCTTTGAACTTGAGATCCTCCTGTCTCAGCCTCCTGAGCTGCTGGGATTACAGGTGTGCTCCATCACATCTGGATTTTTTTTTTTTTTAAAGAACTTTGCTTGCTTAGAGTGTGTGAAGCTCTAGGTTCCATCTTTAGCACTGTGAACGGAGGACAAATACTAACTATTTCTGGGGGACAGAGACAGATATGTGCTTGATTATTTATAGTTTTATGTGCTAAATTATTTTTTTTCAAAATAAAAATATGCATCCATTAACTAATAAGCTTAAAGAAAACAACCAACCAGGTATAGTTTTGCCCCCTTTGGAGATGATATCACATCTGTTTAAGCAGTCTGTCACTATTTAATCTAACCCTGGATTTTCCTCAGCCTTGAGGATGCTTGGCCACTCAATCCTAAAGCTTTAGGCCTTGAGTGACCAGCTCTTACCCAGAGTGTCATAACTCTGTAGCTTTCTGATTTCCTCTGGTTTGGCATTAAGGCCAACTTTGCTTCTCTCCAGATTGTGGATCTATTCCTAGAACACTGGAAAAAAAGGTCACTGCTTGATGTTTTCCACTGCAGGGACCCTGTCTTTATATAACAGTATGACCAAGCAGCCTAACTGGACTATCTGGACTATGGATGGGGAAAGAAGGATGAAGCCCCTTGCTGTGTTTCACACACACACACACACACACACACTCACACAGCACAGACCGTGACCTGTACAGGTCACGATAGCGGCTGCATTGGACAACACTTGCATTGTACTTGGCACTTTATGTGATTATCTTGTTGAATTCTTATCAGAACATCTTAAGAACAGCTATACTCATTTTGCAGATGAGGAAACCGAGGCTCAAAGATGCTATTGGTGGAAATGCATGGCAGAGCTGGGGTTTGAAACAAGATTTCTTCGTCCAGACAACTGAGCTGATTCCTGAGATGGGAAGCAAGCCTGTTTTCACACTCCATGATAGCAACCCTGCTTTTCCCCTTCTAGGCTGCGCCTGGTGTGTGTCCTAAACAGTCTTGTCTTTTCTCACAGTGTTGGTGCGGAAAGGTTAGAATTCTGTTCGCATACGATGTCTGGCTTCATCACTTCTTCATATGCTGCAGTTGTTCTGTTGGAAAATTGTAGCTCCCCTAAATTCCTTGAATGTCCCTACCTTCTGGCATCCTGGGTCCTTCCTCAGAATCCCCAGACTGCCCCATGATCCAGCACCTAAGGGTCAGCTCCTGTACAGAAGGAGTCCCCAGGGCCCACTGCCATGCTAAGGGCCACAGGTATCCACACAGGTATCTCTTGTGGCCTGCTGTTTGGAACATCTCCATTGGAGGGAAAGGGTGACACCCCCTGCCTCCATGGACCTTGCACCATCTTACAGAGACAGCCTCCATACTGAGGGAGACTTACTGGCCTTTGGCTGCCAACCTGTCAGGTTAGGGGAGAAAGTGCCCACTGTAGTCCCCAATTCCTGAGTGCTTTCCCCTTCATAAATACATGGCTGAAAGAGCACAGTTAAATTGCAGGGCAATCCCGCTGGCCTCTCTGAAATCCTACTAGACTAATGTGTTTTCCTTCTTTTTGATTAGAAGTTTTCTTGGCTGCTTTTATAAGTTACTCCAAATATTTCTCCTTCCTTCTGGTCAGTACATTAGCAGGGTGTAGTGTGAACTGGAATTTATTTTCAATTATTCCCATAGCAACTGGCCCTTCTAGAATCTGTTTTTGGTATCTCTGATGTTTTATAGGGGCTGTTTTCTTTGCGGTTAAAAATTCAAACTGAAACCAGACCTTCAGAATGTGTTTAGCAGAATGGTTTCAGCTATTAAAAAACAAAACAAAACAAAACAAAACAAAACCTATACATAGAGATTTGAAAAAAGACTGGAAGGAACTATGCCTAAGTGTTAATGATGATTGTCATCTATTGAGATTACATGTGGCTGTATTTCTTTTCCTTCAATTGATCAGTGTTACTTGTTTTAAAAAAAATTAATAGATGTTATGGGCTGGGGTTATGGCTCAGTGGTAGAGCACTTGCCTAGCATGTGTGAGGCACTGGATTTGAGTCTCAGCACCACATAAAAATAAATAAAGGGCCACCAACAACTAATAAAATATCTTTAAAAAATTAATAGATGTTAATTTATTAATAGTAGATATTAATTAACTAATAATAGTTAATTTATTAATTAATAGATGTTCGTAGAGCAGGTTTCAGTCAATGGAGAATTGAACAGATAGTACAGAGAGTCCCACCTGCTTCCTGTCTCCCTCCCCACCACAGCTTCCCCTGTTAACATTTGCATTAGTGTGGGGTACATTTGTTAACAGTTGATGAACCAGTTCTGACATATGATTATTAACGTCCGTAGTTTAGGGCTCACGCTTGGTGTTGCATATTCTAAGGGTTTTGGAAGGGTGCAGTGCTGTGTGCGCACCATAACAGTATCACAGAGAGGAGTATGCAAACCGCCTGTGCTCTACCTGTTAATCCCACCCCACTGCACACTCCTGGCCACCATTCATCTTTTTATTGCCTCCACAGTTTCAGCCTTTTCCAGAATGTCATATACTTGGAATCAGACAATATGTAGCTTTTCCAAATTGGCTTCTTTCATTTACTAATATGCACCTAGGATTCCTCCATGTCCTTTTGTGGCTTGATAGCACATTTCTTTTTACCTCTGAATACTATTCAGTTGTCTGAATGGACCCTAGGTTATCTCTCCATTCACCTGTTGAAGGACATTGGTTACTTCCAGTTTTTTTGGCAATTATGAACAAGACAGTTATAGACATCCTTGTTCAGGTTTTTGTGACGATATTTGTTTCAACTCCCTTGGATAAATACAAAGGAGCATGATGGCTGGATCATAGGGTAAGACCGTGTTTCTTTTTGAAAGGAACTACCAAACTGTGTCCCAAAGTGGCCGTTAAGAGTTTGCGTTTTGAATGAGTTTCTGCAGCTCCTGTCCTGATTGGCAGTTGGCATGTCAGTCCGTGTTCTGGATTTGGGCTGTTCTGATAGGTGTGTGGTGGTATCTCATCACTTTAATTTGCAGTTCCTTGATGACATCTGATATTGAGCATATTTTCATATGCTTATATTTTCCATCTGTGTATCATCTTTCATCTTTGGTGAACTGTCTAGATACTGTGCCCTTTTAAAACTTGGATTGTTTGTTTTCTTCCTGTTGAGTTTTAAGGGTTCTTTGCATATTTTGGATATAAGCCCTTTGACAGATATGTGTTTTATAAATATTTTTTTTTCCAGTCTGTGGTTTGTCTTTTCATTCCCTTAACTATGTCTTTGGTAGAGCAGAAGTTTTTAATTGTAATGAAGCTTAGCATATTCATTTTTTCTTTAGTGGATCATGAATCGGATGTCACCTAAATTTTTCTCCTGTGTTCTCTTCTAGAAGTTTTGTTTTTTAAAAATATTTTGCTTATTAATGCATATTAACTGTATATGTTAATAGAGTCCAGTGTATAGTTTCCTACATTCACATAGCATGTACTAATCAATACAGCCTCCCTTTTCTACCTATCTCCCTTATACCCTTCCCAATCTCTAGTAATCACTATTCTATTTCAGTTTTATTTTTTTTTCAGTACTGAGGATTGAATCCAAGCGTGCTCTACCACTGAAATATATCCCTAGCCCTTCTTATTTTTTATTTTGAGACAGGGTCTTGCTAATTGCCCTGGCTGGCCTTGAATTTACGATCCTCCTGTCTCAATCTCCCAAATAACTGGGATTACAGATATGCACCACTGCCCCCAGCTAGATTGACTTTCTTTTCTTCTCTTCTCTTCTCTTCTCTTCTCTTCTCTTCTCTTCTCTTCTCTTCTCTCTCTCTCTCTCTCTCTTTCCACATATGAAAGAGAGGTAGGAGGGAGAACCTATTCTTCTGTGTCTGGCTTATTTCACTTACTATAATATACTCCAGTTACAGCCATTTTGCTGCAGCTGACAGGATTTAATTCTTCTTTGTGGCTGAAAAATACTCCATTGTGTGTGTGTGTGTGTGTATTTCTTTATCTATTCATCTGTTGATCCCATTCATCTGTGGGTACTAGGCTGATTCATACCTTAGCTATTGTAAATAGTACCACAATAAAACATGATGATGCAGGTGTCTCTTTAGTATGCTGATTTCACTTCCTTTGGCTGTACACCCAGAAGTGGGATAGCTGCATCATGTATTAGATTTGTTCTTAGTTTATTGAGGAACCTCCATACTGTTCTGTGTAATGGCTGTACTGATTTACATTCCTACCAACAGTATCTAAGAATTCCTCTTTCCCCATATCCTTGCCAGGATTTATTATTTTTGTAATAGCCATCCTAAGTGGGGTGAGATGGTATCTCCTTGTAGTTTTAATTTTCATTTCCTTGATGGCTAATGACATTGAGCATTTTTTCATATATTTGTTGGCCATTTATATTTCTTCTTTCTAGAAATGTCTATTTAAATCATAACCCATTTCTTTCTTCCCTGCAGTGCTGGGAATTG